AAAAAAATAAAATATGTTTTATACTAACTTTGTATATATTTGTTATTTATTTATGTACCTGAGCCACCCAGTAGAGTCTAAGCTCCTTGAGAGCAGGGGCTGTTTTCATTATTTTCTTTGTGTTCTTGGTGCCCAGTGAAGTACATGGCACATAGTAGGTGCTTAATAAATGCCTGATGAATGGAACAATCAGAATTCTATGTCCAAGAGTTCAGTAGTATCCAAGACAATACAAAAGATACTATCTTTGGCTCTAGGATCAGAGAAAGGAAAAAGAGGATGGGAACCACCCTGTGTAATCCATCTAATTTATCTGGATTTCTCCATAGCAAGAATTTGCTAATGACAGGAGAGCTAGACACAGCTGACTTCACTGTTCTTACTTTGGTCTGATAATTTCTTATCCTGTGGTGCAGTAGATAGAGCCCCAGCCCTGGATTCAGGAGGACCTGAGTTCAAATCTGGCCTCAGACACATAACACTTACTAGCTGTGTGAACCCTGGGCACGTCACTTAACTCCATTGCCTAGCCCCCTCCCCCCAAAAAAATTTCTCATCACCTTTTCTCTACCCCAACACCTCCCTCCCATTTTCCTTTCTCTAGAAATATATTTTGACACTTGGCTTATTATCAATGTTCTGTGGCCAGGAAAATATACTTTATTTTATATTGTGTGAGAAGAGGTGAGAAGATTGGAAGGAAGTTCTTTTCAGTTCAACAAGTATTAATGCCCCAGCCCTATGTCTGAGATCTTTTATTCCCTCAGAACTTGGGTTGGGTTAGAAGGATCACTTAGGGCCAGAAAGGATTTTATGGGCCAACTAATCCCTTTACTTTACAGAAAAACTCCTGAGGCTTAGAGACATTAAGTGACTTGTCCACAGTCACAGTTTACTTGTAGGAGAGATGGAAATTAAATTTGGATCCTCTAACTCCAAATTCAGGGAGCTTCCCACTGCATCATTCTGTGGTTCTAGATCTTAGGTTAGCTTTGTATTTAGTGTCTCTTCAGTAAATTGAAGGTCCTGTGCCAAACCCAATGGGCGGCTAGGTGGTGCAGTGGACAAAGTACTGGGCCTGGAGTCAGATAGACTCATCTTCCTGAGTTCAAATCTGGCTTCAGACACTTACTAAGCTGTGTGACCCTGGAAAAGTCACTTACCTCTGTTTGCCTCAGTTCCTCATCTGTAAAATGAGCTGGAGAAGGAAATGGCAGACCATTCTAGCATCTTTGCCAAGAAAACCCCCAAATGGGGTCACAGGGAGTTGAATAGGACTGAAATGACTGAACAACAACAAAAATCTTGAAACTGTGGTGATGTAATTAGAGATGTAGCTAATTAATTATGAACTCTTTCTACCTAGCCTCTTGCCTTCTTATGGCAAAGCTTTTTGCAGGGCCAGCTTTGCATTAATAAATAAGAAAGGGACAGCTAGGTGGCACAGTGGATAGGGCACTATCCTAGGAGTCAGGAAGACCTGAGTTCAAATTTGGCCTCAGATAGTAGCTGCATGACCCTGGGCAAGTCGCTTCACACTACTTGCCTCCCTCCTTCCCCCCAAAATAGAAAAAAAAATTTTTAATGTGAGAGAAATTCTTATGGAGGAAGATTGGATTAAATTGAGCATAAAATGGATCTTAATCTACAAAGCAATTTTGTCCTGTTTTGCCTTATTTTCTTCCTTCTGTCTTTTTGTCTTACATTTATATTCATACCACCCATCAGAGATCTCTCGGTATTTCTCCTGCTGACCATGTATAGATATCTTGCTGCCCACTTGACTGTGTGAAGTTAGTGGAATTCATCTTTCCAGGCAAGCATTCTTTCTGAGTATAAATTGCTTTCCCCAGGATGCCACCTGGGAACAGCAGCTTTGCAGAAGAATATGGCTTAAGGAGCAGGTAAGAAGTGGATTCCACCTCTCATTCTTTGAACCATCTTCACTTGTTTATTTCCAAGGGAACAATCCTCTTAATTTTTTTTGTTATTGTTTAAAAAAAATCTGAAGACAAGATGATGTTTGGTTCATGCCTTCATTTCCTGCTCCTGTCACAGGAGGGATATTTTTAAGCAGGATGAATTGTTACTGAGTTGCTGCTCTTCTGAACTCAGAGCAATCAATCTTGTCTTGAATCCCAGGCCTACCAATCTGCCTGCTAAGTCTGTTCTTTCTGGGGCAGACTTATTTACGGAGTCAAGGCAAGGGTAATTTCACTCCCCCGTCCTTCACTGCCTGTTCCTTTCTCTGCCACTCTTAAAAATAGCCCAGGGCTCTGACGAAGACCCAGGGTCCTGTTACCTCCATCGTGCATGGTTCGATCACACCTCTCTAGAGTCTAGCAGCCCTGTTTTTTCCAGGAGGCTTTGGTCACGTTTGGTGTTCAAATGACGTTTGGATGGCCCTTCTCCCTTTTGAGTGAGTAGCAGTAACAAACAGAGGAAAGAAGGAAAAAAAGAAATCATTCTTTATCTTGTCCAGGCTGTTTGGCTAGTTCAATCAAGAACTGTTCTACTAGAGGCAGCTTACCCAGGCCAGTCTGTCCCTTTTAAAGAAGTAAAGGGGCCTCGTGATTGAAGTAAATTGCTTCCCCCTCCCCCAGGCTACTACAAGGTCTGGCATGGTCTAGCATAACACAGCATAGCATTGCATAGTACAGTATAGAATAGGATCGTTTAGTACATAGCACGGTACAATTAGCTTTTACTTTGTATATGCTTCATCCTCTGACTGCAAAAATGTTGAAAGACCAGTGAGTGGCAAACACTGTGGTGAAACTCTTGCTGTTTTTAAGAGTCTATATTTGCCTCCTTTGGTTATTCTGCTGCTGCCCTGTATGAAGCATAACAAGAGCATGTTGTTTTTAATGAGGTGGGTAAGTAATAAGACAAGCTGTAATAAGAGGCCCCATATAAGATAAGGAACAGGGAAGAACTGAACCCCAGCATGTGTCACCCCCATGCCCTCCCCCAGCCCTGCCCTCTGGATGGGGTCTGGATGGTGGGTCTGGCACAAAGGGGGTTAAACAAAATGATTCTAGGCGAGAGGTTCTTAACTGGGCTTTGTGAACTTTTTTTTAAAAAATATTTTGATGGCTATATTTCAACATAATTGGTTTCCTTTGTTTATCTGTGCATTTTATTTTATGCATTTAACAACATAATGCTAAGAAGGAATATCTAGACTTCACCAGATTGTCAAAGGGGTTCATGACGCAAAAAAGGTTAAGACATATAAACTTGATGGTCTAAGGCAGGAATGGGGAACTTGTGGCCTTCTAGATCCTTGGGGGGGGTGGTGGCACACCTTTTGACCGAGTCCAAGTTTTACAGAACAAATCCTTTTCTTAAGAGGATTTGTTCTGTGAAGTTTGGATTCAGTCAAAGGGCTGCACTTGAGGACCTAGAGGGCCACATGTGACCTTGAGGTCACAGGTTCCCCATCCCTGATAAGGCTTATCTTGTTCTATCACTTTTCCCTCTATAACTATCCAGTAAAAGTTGAATTAAAAAACAACCACCACCTGGAATAAGGGCTTTCTCTATGCTAAGGCTAGCAAGCTGTGGGAATTCCAAGAGGCCAGGCAAGGACTGATGGTAGTGACTGCAAATGGGACTGTGACCCCAGCGGATGTGGATTGTACCCCTGTTAGGGAGCATTGAAAAAGGAGGGTATTCTGAGGTATATTTACATGAGACAAAAGTTTTCAGTGCTTTTATGTTCCTAAGAAATTGGGCATTACTACTTCAAGTTACAGTTAGATTAAGTTAGCCTTGTGCATTTTCTTCTTTAAAACAACAACAAAAAACCCAAGTCTGAATTTTAAAAATATTTGTTGTTAGTCTCAGATTTTATTCTTTGTATCTATTATTAATGTGATAGAAGCCTTTTCCAGTATGTTCTAAATAAAAAGGTATTTTTTTCTGAAATATTTTGTAGATATTATCTCATGAGTCTGTGAAGTAACTTTGGGAGGCTGGTTGTAGGTCATGGGGAATCAAGGATTATTGGTTCCAGTTTAGAGAGAGGAGAATTGAAGGTCCAGGGAGTACAGTAACATCCCAAAGATCAAACAATTGAATAAACAAGTGACAACGAACACCTCGGATTTGGGGCTTCTAAAGCTGCCTTATATAAAGGGCTTGCAACCCCCAAGTGTCCCACGTAAACATCGCTCCTTCACAAAGCATCGTAATGTTGGCAGTCAGGTGTTACTGGACTTGGGCGTACAGGTCAAGCCAGGCTCTGTGGCTCAGCGGATTTCAACAGGAGCCCCATTTTTTTTTGTCCATGGGGTAAAAGGCTCCACTTAGCTAAAGAGAACCCCACCAAAGATACAGCCTGAGCAAGAGAATTCCTTTAGTAAGCTATCTGGGTGGACTTTCTCCAGGACTGAGTTGCTACAAGCTCAGAAGCTTTGGAGACAACCCTAAGCTGGCTTTTTCCATTTCCATTTTCCCCATTTATTCATTTTTCTTTTCAAGCTACACTCAGCCTATTCCCCAGCTTGCTTCCTCCCTCCCCTGTCCCTTCCCTCCTCCTTTCCCCCACTCTGCCCCCCATTGCGTCCTGGCCTCAATTTGGTGGGCAGATGCTTCTCTCCTCAGCGCAGTTGCCTCTGCAGCCTCTGGAGCCCGACCCCAGCGAGCAGTCTGTCTGGAACACAGGAAGGGGGTGGGGAGCTCTGGTTCACTGCAACTGACGTCTCCACCTGCTGGCTGCCCTGACTCTTACTGCATGCAGCTCTCCTTGTCCCTTCTGCCGCCTCTGCCACTGTTGCCGCCGTCATTGTTACTGTTGCTGCTGTTGCTGCTGTTGCTGCAATATTTCATAACGTATGATCCAGGAACCTCAGGTGGAAAGCATGCTCAGGCAGATGGCACGGTGTACTGCTCTTAGAAGGATCTGTTTCTGTCAGAGGCTCCGAATAAGTTTCCCTTGAGTAAAAGTCTGAAGGGGTGGAGAGCTAACCCTTCAATACATGTTGCTCTCCTTCCAGGGGCCCTTTCATGAGGACTGAGGCAGGAGCTGCTGCTGAGAGCCTCCCGACATGACATCCGCCACTGAGTTTGACAACGTGGGCATCCAGCAGTACAGCAGGATCAACGCCCGCTGGGACTCCCCGGACAATGAGTTGGACAATGACAATAGCTCCGCCAGGCTCTTTGAGAGGTCTCGGATCAAGGCTCTAGCAGGTACTCTTCTGAGGGGTGAAAGAATGGAGTATGGGTGGGGAGGACCTTCCTCAGTACCCTCCTTTCCCCAAGACCACCTGTATTCCCAAGCGTCTGGCTGTGAATGGCAGGGGGAGTGTTGGGGATGCTTCTTGGGTGAAACCTGCTGATGCCTGATGGGAGTTGGCTCATAGGGGATTCAGTCTTCCATCTGTGCTCTGAGCTTGTTCAATAGTACTGGCAACAGTCACTGTTCACACCTGTCCTCTGGTTCATTCATATTTTACCCTATGAAAAAGGAGGTGGTAGCTCTGTGTGTGTGTGTGTGTGTGTGTGTGTGTGTGTACTAATAGCAACTTGAAGTGGCCATCCTGAGTGACCTGTAGCCAAATTCAAGTGTCAAAGACAGCCCAGTCAACTGAGTGAAATAATCAGTGTGGAAAGGGTGAATAATTATAGTATCAACTAGGAGTTGATCTCCTTTTCCCTTTACCCTCCTCCTATCTGGAGGATTGTGCAGGAGCTGTAACTCCCCAAAACGGCTCTGGGATGATCATACCTACCTAGGGCCCACAAGAAAAGAGTAACCAAGTGTGAAATTGAGAACAGGCAGCCTTCTCAGGACTCCAGATGGGAGGAGGGGAAGGTTTTCTGAGGTAAACTCTTGGATTTCACCTACTCTTCACCTACTAAGTTCGTGATGAGTTTTGTGGGGTTTTTTTGTATTTTTTTGGTTGCTATTAGCTGGTTTTTAAAAATCCTGAATCTTTAGTGTAAATAGTTTCTCTTCTTCCTTACTTGCTGAAATATCATTTCCTCTTACTTACTGAGATATCATTTTGTTATTTGATATTTCCTGTGATGGGCTTTCATTACTAAGTCCTGACCCAGAATAACCTGGGTCCTTCCATCTGAACCACTATTTTGCTTTAGGAACTTTCTGCACAAAGGAGCCTGTATTTCCTCTCTTATACCTCCCCATTCAATTGACTCTACTCTCCTTTGTGGAAAACTGCTGTGAATGAGGTACAGATATACTAGTTCCTTAGTTGATATCCCTTACTCTTTCCAGGGGTTCTCAATGAAGCCTTTAGTGGGGTCCATGAACTTTTTTGGGTAATATTTTGATAACTGTATTTCAACATAATTAGCTTCCTTTGTAATCCTATGTACTTCATTTTATTCATTTAAAAGCATTCTGAGAAGAGGTCCATAGGCTTCATCAGACTGTTACAGGGGTACATGCCACAAAAATGTTTAAAAATGCCCACTTTCTCTGCCTTTTTGGAGCTTACTCTTCAAGGGATGTATAAACCTTAAAACACTGTGTCAATGTAAGTTTATTGAGTAAATTTATTCCCCTTCCTGCTTTCGCTTTGGGGAGACTCCTTTGAAACAGACTTCTTGGTTCTTGGCAGACCTAGGGGTTTTGACACTTAACCTTGTCCTATATCTTATCTACATATTAGAAAATGTCTAGGGATACCTCTCTCACACACAGTGTCCTCTTTACTTCTGCTCTCCAACATACATGACATAGGAATAGTCTCTGTCTCATTCTATAAGGGTCTTGATTTGACTAATTGAGAAATTATCGTGCTGTTTTTATTCTTCCCTCTCCTTTCCTATCTGCATTGTAGGATCATAGATTTAGAGATAGAAACAAACTCTGAGGTCACTTAGTCCAGTCCCCTTCAATTTACAGTGGAGGAAATTGTGGCCCAGAATTGTTGTGACTTCCTCGAGTTCGCACAGGTAGCAAGTGTCAGAGCAAGGATTAAAAGCCAGGTCCTCTGATTCCAAATCCAGCATTTTAAAAGTTGCATCATTATTTCTCTCAGTGGCAGAGTTAATAATACCAACTTATTTGCATTTGTAATTCATCCTCTAGCCAGTACTAAAACATCAGACTATTTTGACTTTCTACTAACGTGTCTGTTAACTCTGTGTGTTGGCCAGGCCACAGTATAGTATTACCTGTGTGATCAAAGAGTTATTCCTTGTATGGCATACTTGTACCTTGTATTGTAGGACTTACCCAGGAGCCACATGAAAATTAGATCTTCCTTGGTCTGTTTCTCAGGTGATTCCTTCCTTAGGAGACTGCCTTTACCATATCATCCCCCTGGTTTTAAGTTTCTTTCAAACTGGTTAGCTTTCCTTTTGACTTTAGAGGTAACTTGGACATAGATTAGGTTGGTGCTAATTGCATTATTGCAAAGCCAGGAGCAGCAACGTGTTAGAATCAAACATTAGGCTCTAGTAGAGTAGTGGAAGGAGCTCTTACTAATGATGTCACATTCTTCACTGAACTGACTCATGCTATCCCACCAAAGAGTTTGTAGGTCATTCTCAAATACTCAGATAAACCTATGATCTCATCTATGTGGGTACTTCCTCTAGTGATGCAGATGAGATGCAGTTCTTCTGAGACTGTCTTCCCAGTGTAACCATAGACATAGCATACTTTGTTAGGATATGTATCCAGAGAATTAAAAATAATTTTTTGAGATGAACATTTGTTGACTATTCAGTTACAAAAGGACATTATTTTCCTTATTAAACAAGAACTAAACTTGTCTTGGAATAATAGTTATAGCACTGGAAGCAGAGTCAAGAAAGACCTAGGTTCAAATCCAGCCTCAGACACTTCTAGCTGTAAGTCCCTGGGCAAGTCATTTAAACCTCTCTGTGCTTCAGTTTCCTCATCTGTAAAATCAGGGGATAGGACTTGATGGAATCCAAGCTCCCTTCCGCCTCTAAATCTAGGTTCTAGCGATCCTTTCTTCCTATAATTTCAATACAAGGCGTCCCACCAGTGTGTTGGGGGCCTTCCTTGATCTCTTTGGACAGTGCAGAGATAACAGTGAAATATATCAATCATCCATTATTCTCACCATATGACTAATTTTTTTTCTCATATGTTTAATGACAGCATTTGGAAATAATAACAATAGTAGCCAATATTTATACAGTGCTCTAAAGCTTGCAAAATACTTGACTATATCTAATTTATTCCACACGGTTTTGGGAGATTAGGTATTACAGATATAATTCCAGTTTTACAGCTCTTGCTCAAAAGAACTTAAGCGACTTACCTCTGGTCACAGTGGTAGTAAATATTAGAGGTAAGATTTGAACTTGAGTCTTTTTTTTTTTTTTGGCTAGGCAGTGGGGTTAAGTGTCTTGCCCAGGGTCACACAGCTAGTGAGTGTTATGTGTCTGAGGCCGGATTTGAACTCAGGTCTTCCTGACTCCATGGCCAGTGCTATATTCACTGCACCACCTAGCTGCCCCGACTGTCTGAGATTTTTTAAAATATGCTCTTGTCTTGGAGTGTTTGTCTTGAATAACCTGTAGCCAAAGTCAAGACACAGACAGTCCATTGAATGAGCACTGAACCAGTATTTAAGGGTTAATCAATTCAGTCAATAAATAAACATTTATTAAGTGCCTATTCTGTGTCAGGCACTGTGCTAAGGGTTAGAGATTGACCCTTAAGGATTTATGTATGTTGGAGAGTGAGGCTAGTTGGGAGGATGTCATATGTTATTCTACCCTGATGTTAGGCATTTGCTGCTCTATCTCCATTGCTTTCTCCAAGTCCTCCTTAGAGATCTATACAAGGATTGCCATTTCCTAAGAGCCTTCAGAGTATTTAGAATTCTTATGTGAAGTCCTAAATGATAGCAATGACTGTTCAATTGTGATAGCTCTTATCACTCTCTAGAGATACCCTTTGTAAATGACTTTGGGCAAGGGCATCCCATCAGAACTATACATGCTGCTGCTGCTATACTTTGTAACTATAGATGTTTGGGATGGGGAGAGTGGCCTGTACTGAGAGGCCCTGGCTTTTCTTTTCTTTTCCTTTCTCTTTTCTTTTTTTTTTTGGGGGGGGGAAGGGGAAGTAATCAGGGTTAAGTGACTTGCCTAGGGTCACACAGCTTATCAGTGTCTGGGGCCAAATTTGAACTCGGGTCCTTCTGACTCAAGGGTTGGTGCTCTATCCACTGTGCCACCTATCTGCTCCCATTTCTTTTGTAAAATAATCTTTTCAGGTACCTTTTGTTCTCTTTTTTTCCTCTCCGATGGGAGATTTGGGAATGACCTTTTCTGTTTGTTCATACCTTTTTGACTTGACCTTTCAGAATATCAGTCCAGTTGCTACCCTTGCTTTCTCTACCTCTTCTGCAATACTCTTCTTCTTCTTCATTGATGCATTCCTCAGCCTTTGCCTCTCCTCCTCCCCCACTCTTCCTTGAAAATCTTGTGGTGGAGGGAAGAATTAGAGCCTTGGGATATTAATAATAGTGGAGTAGAGTAAGGTTTGAAAGGCACTTTGCCCACAATTCTTTGAGGTGGATGGTATAATATTATGGCACTCTTCATGTGAGAAAACTGAGAGACTGAGGGCTTAAATGATTTGCTTTTCTTTGGTCAAATACCTAGTTAGCATCTGAGGTGGGATTCCAATCACCATCTACTTTTTTAAGTCCAGCGATCATATAGTATACTTTACTTACTCTCGCTGTTAGGTCAATGTTTCTTCTTATTCCCATAGACTGTGACTCCTCATATGCTCGGATCTGAACATCTGGGGCTAATGAGATACAAACTAATCTTTAGAATGAGTTTAAGTGTGGTTTGGTGGGGGACTTGAATATGGGTGAGCCAAGAATTAGAAAGCTTGCAAGTCTTTTGTTTGCTTCTTTTCTTGGGCATCACTGTGGGTATTGACTCTTCTTGCTTTCCAGCTTCCTTTGAACCCCACCACACTTTGCTCGCTTCAGTTAATTATCAAACCTCACATAAGGGTAATGTCCATTCTTTTCTTTTTCGGCTTCCTTGGAGTTTCTTTTAATATTATTATTACTATTTTCCCCATTTAATAGTATTTTATTTTTTCCGATTACATGTACAGATAGTTTTCAACATTCTTTTTATAAGATTTTGGGTTCCAAATTTTTCTCCCTCCTCCCTCCTCCTCCTCTCTCCTCTCCCCCCTCCCTAAGCAATCT